ATATATATATCTTCTAATCTCTTTCACTTTTTTCCATTACATTTCACTTTTTTCTTCTTTCTTTTTCTTAAAAAATGCTGAAAGATTAGGGATGCATGATATATCGGCATTAATATCAGTGTCGGCCAATATTGGTCATTTTTTTAGAATATCGTATTGGCCCGATATGTAAAACTGGGCTGATATTAATGTCCGATCTTGATTTCCCACTTTTTAACTTTGTGTTTCTGTTTTGAGAGGGGAGACGGTTGTTTGAGCGGCATCTGTTTGATCATAGTGATATTGACGCTGCATAGCCAGGAATAACTGAAGTAGAGAGCCATGTCAGAGGTCTGGTCGTTTATTTACAGTATCAAAAAAGACCCAAGGGTGAGCGTATAATATAATTTGTGTGTTTGTGCAATATTGGTAAATATCAGTTATCGGCCATAACAGCAATAATTATATTGGATATCAATATCGGCTGAATTTTTCATATTGGTGCATCCCTTTGAAAGATTTTTTGCCAAGTAGCTAAAAGAGCTGAAACTAGCTTAAAAATAAGTTTAAAAATAGCTGAAATTGCTGAAAATATTACAAAGACACAGAAAGTGCCCATGTCTGCTGAATGAAGACGTAAGAAGCTGAAATCACAAAAAAAGGTGAGGTTAGCTGAAAAAAGCTCAAATTAGCTAAAACATAGCTGAAGAGCTGAAAGGTGCACAAAAAAGCTGCAATTARCTGAAGAACAGCAGAAAATTCCAGTAAAGAATTCTGATCCCCTTTTGTTTTATCAAAAGCACAAAAACGTGCAGCATCAGCAACTTTCTAACACTTTGGCTGYGTCCAGACCCTCTGCTGATGTCTTGTTTTAAATCATAGAAAAACAGGAATAGCAAGGTTGACATAGCACCTTAACTCTTGTTTGTAAGAATAATTACATAAATGTAATTTAAACCCTTCTAAAAACACCACAACTATTTTTGATGCCCATAAAACCGACAACACAGCACATACTGTACGTGGATGTTTAASACTTACCATTGACGCAGAACTCGTRTGGAGCACAGAGCTCATCTTCAAACAGACAACCTGAAGGGGAGAGAAACAGGAAGCAGAGCCAATTAAAATGCAGCTCAAGAGGTCAAAGTAATGTCAACCTCTGAGTTACAAACTTAAAAAAACTTGCTTAAAACTTTTCTCAGTTAAATATTGCAGATTCTACGTACATCCCTGCTCTATAAAAGTACAGCCTAGTAGTACATTAACTCTGACAAAGAGCTTTGCTGCTAATGGCAGAACCATCAATCATCAATTAAAGCGGYTTCTCCTATCCTGTCTCCGACACTGATACTCCGACTCCACTGGCAACGCTTCCATATATGAGTGTTGTATGAATATTAATGAACTTTAATGCTCAGGCTAAGAATCAGTGTTCCAGACTAATAAAAGAACAGATGGTGGAAGCATTATGAGTAGCTGTTCCCTTCGTGTCTCACTCGAGGGAGATGCAGTGAATAGAAGAGGACTTGTTGTTCCGTTTGGCAATCAGAACAATTGATCCTCTGCATTTATGCATTTCTGGAGGGGGGTGGGAAAAGATCAAAATGGGATTAGTGGGATTAGATCATAACTCTTGAGTTTCAAACGCACCTTTAGATTGTTGCTTGAGCAACGGTCCCTCAGTCTTTTAAACCAACTGTATTTATGTGTTTGGCAACACATCAAGGAAATGCAAACAGCAAGGCCTTAGATGTTCCTCTTGTGTCTTTTATCTTAGTTATTTCTCTCCCTGTGCTTCATCAGGCAGCGTGATGGAATTGGATGCACTCTCTTGGCCCAGTGGCCTCGATGGACAGAAGCAAGCGGCTCGTGACCGTGAAAGGAGAACAAGTCGAGGAGGAGGAGAGGTCTCTGTCAGCCTTCTTTAATAATGAGAAAAGATGGGCATGCGAAGCCCGTTAATCGATTGACACAGAAGGGACAGATAACCAGGACGAGTGCGGACAAAAGAGAAAGTTTCCATGCATCAAAGTTTGCTTGAGTTTCTCGTTACCCGTTCTGACATCATTACTCTGCTCTCGTTATTCTCTTACAGGCTGTATTTGTGATGGGGGAACGGGATTATAGAGACACAATGAAAAGCTATTTTGTTTAGGAGCAGAAGGTGCTGTGTGTAAAATTATGCCTTTYAGAGGTAATGGCTTTGATATGTCAGTAAAATGGCTATTTAATGATGCAGAGTGAGGCATCATCACTGTGACGTGGGGTCACCCAGCTCTCTGGAACAAACGGCAGAATGTCCTGATCTGAAAAGAAGGTACTGAATTTTATTCTGTGACACACACACACACACACACACACACACACACACAGAGTAATCATCACTTTAATGGAATGATTAAAATGTCACACAGGTCAGGGTCTTCAAACCAAATATTTTCATAAAACTTTAAAGTTGCTCCAATTGATGTCAGATTAAAAAAACATATTTAGAACAAAAGTAATGATGTGTGTTTGGTAGATTGCTTCTTTGTTGTAACGATGCTTCTTGGCAATAAATCTTAAATCGTTGCAAAGTCTGTTAATTTCCCTTTTAATTGGTGCCACATTTGTAAGGAACATGCATTTGTGGGACGAGCAGTAGAGCTGAGTATGTGGGTTGCAAACATGAACATTTTACCAAATCTTCTCTGCCAAACAGCTTATTTATTTATCTTCCCCAGGTGCTGCCAATCAAGCGCCCGCAATAAAATTTATTGTCAAGAAGCATTGTTACAATGAAGTAAAAATCTACCAAACAGATGTCCTTACTTTCTGTGCTAAGTTCAGATTAAGTCATTTTGCATAGAGAACAATCACCTGCATTTATGAACACAAAAGTAAAGTTTATGTCCACATCCTTAGCCCCCAGTTATAAAATGCAATAAGTTTGAAGTGTTTGTAAATACTGATCAAAAATGAATGGAATAYATTTGAGTTTTGAACCGTGCTGAAKWTACTAATTATGGTTTCACATGGATGTGAAAAAAAATATGTCAATTTTGTCCGTTTTCAGACTCCTTATTAAACATTTAGTGTCAGCAGGAGCTGCAGTTGTTATCTAATAGATTCCAAATTATCAGGATTTTTACACTTGGCCTGAAAACACAAGACCCAACTTCTGAGGAGCACTCGCTTGGAGGTGAAGGACTCTGGCAGTCCCTCTTGACCGCGCATCTCAGCGCTCTGCAATTAGTGTCAGTCCATTCAACTTCACCTCCTCATCACTTTGCTGCATAATTCAATGGGTTCTCTGGGAGGCCTTGTCAGCTCTCAATATTAATTACGACTTTCAACTAATGACGCACCCAGCCAAGCATAGTGAGTCAGACATCATGTGTGTAYGTGTGCGCTTGCACGTGTGAGCGCGTGTGATAGGCAGGGACATAGCACTGATAATGGTACATCCTCTTTGTGCGACGACATGCCAGAGATGATTAAAATGGCACCTTTTAATTAAAATGCAATCACAGTGGATGCTGCTGATTACTGCGGGCTGAGAAAAAAAATGTTTGTAGTAAATCAAAGAAAAATGGTTGGCTGTAAATCTTAATGAAGCGTCCTGACAAAGCATGGTTACATGTTTTAATTTAGCTCTAATCTTCAAAACATTAATAAGGGTAATGTTTCCTTCCAAATATTATTTAACAGACTTAACGTAATAGATTTGACATTTAATTTACGCAAAACCTGCTGAAATCTGCTCATACTTGCTGATTATTACAAATTACTTTTTACGATAATTCAATAAATGTTTTACAAAATCAGTAACTTTAATAATCCAAATAGATTAACTATTTTTTTAATAGCAATGATAACACAAATCCTTAACAATAAGTTTTAAAAAGTGAAATTTTTAAATGTCATTTTGCAATTACCATTTAAAATGAATGCTATTTTATCCACTGACTTTAAAGTGACTGTGACACCAAATTTTTGTAAAGCATACGAATGCATTTTTGGAAAGCTGACATTCCTAAAATATTTCAAAATAAATTTCATGTCCCTGAGACAAACAGTTGTTGAGATATTGGCTTGTGAAGTAACAGGAAGTGATGTCAAAGGGAATACCTGAATGTAAAYAGAGTGTTGCTAAAACAAAACAACACAGACCGTAACGAAGAATCTGATGTTTCTTCAGATTATTTTGAGTCACTAACAGAKAGAGATGAAGAGTCGGAGTTCAAATAATGTTTCTAAACAAAGACTAGGGATTTCATTTTCTTTATGAGTTCCCCTTTGATGTCACTTCCTGTTTTACTTTAGCTGAGTCAAGTTCAAAGGGAATATCCTAATTATGTGGCAATATGGGTAAAATCGTGTTTATGATGCCAAGTTTCTTAAATATAAAGATGTTTTCTTTAACTTTTGGGATTTGAAGGAYATGAMTGTCACAGGCACTTTAAGATGGTGAGAATTTTTGCGAGTGGTAGTACCTGTTGGGTGCCAAATGCATGTGTTCTAAATTTGTAAAAGCTCCCCCTCCTCCTGACCCGATTTACAAAAAGAAAAAAAATGTACGAAGGGAGAATCCTGACAGATCAGGTCAGTGAATGAATTCAGTCGGTTTACAGTTCGTTTTTTAGCAGGATACTAAAAAGGTTATCTCACAAAGTCAGGGACAAAAGCATTTCAATCCTTCCTGTGTTTTTTTTATTACAATCAATCTAAACCTCAGCCAGAATTTAGGTCTGGCTGCGATTGGCTGACCTTGCCTTTAACATGAAATCCRTCCCTAAAAGAGGCTCAACCCAAGGCTGAATGAAAACTCTATGCTGCTTCGCTTCACAGGTGGTTGGCCGGTGCTGGGAAACCATCTGCAATGTCTGAGGGGCCAAGGAGGATGCTGGGAGCCWGGCAGAGAGGACATCCACTCCCGGAGCCTGCTGCAGTTAAAGACATAATTCATTCACTCTCTGGGGCCAACAACCTATCTTTTACCTTAAATATAGACTGCCACCAAGGACGTCTGACTCATTTCTAATCACATACACCTGTGCTGCCTGCCAAAAAAGCCATTTCAGAGCTCTGCAGAGGGTGACAACGGCAATACGAGCTCAAGTAAATTGAGGGGAGAGGGAAAAAAGGCTGACTGGAGCAGGGACAGTAGAGACCATCACCTGCAAGCAAATAGCATAAGGTTGACACCGTTTAAAAAGATATAAACAGCTTTTATTGTTTAGGCTCATCTGTTAAAATTTAAAAAAGGCCCCCAAGCTTTTGACTCCAGCAGGTTTTTTTCCTGATAAGAGCTTCATGGAATAAGATCAGCTAATTTTCATGCTCATCATACTCCTTGATTCCAGATTTTCATTTGAATAGGACACTATTCTAACACTTCTTTGAATAGGAACTCATTTTCTCAACACCAAAAATAATTAGCTTTTAACCAACAAAACTGTCATTTATCTGATAAGGTTTGTTGTAATATTATGGGTAAGTGTACATTTGGTTGTTGAGCTAAACCAGCAAAATTTACTGCATGTGAACAAGTGAGCTTTTGAAAAAATAAACAAGGAAAAATATACAATTTGTTGAGTAATACCTAAATAAGTGAATAAAACTAGCAATAGTAATGTTTGTTATGCTGCACGCCAAAGTTTTAAACAGAAGTATTGCATAATCTGTTAGTGCTGAGTGATGTGGAAAACGCAGCTATTAATGTGCCAAATTTGCTAAAGTGACTGATTAACAGTTTACTCCATCTGTACATGTGCATCCACTTTCTGAAAGTTTCAGTGAAATCCATCTCCATGTTCATCAGATATTTTGCTAWAAGTGTTGATTCCAACAGTTCATACAACAGTTTTCAATACAGACATCACAGAATTTGAGACCTTAAAGTATATGTTGAGGACGACTCTCGGTTCAAACATGCTTAGTTTTAGCTCAATATTTAAAAAACTGACTGAGTTAGTGCCATTCCAGGTTTTAACGGCAGAGGGTTATGGCAGCCATTTTGAATCGAGTTAACTCCRAAACATAATCAGTTATAGTTGTACATCTACAGATTATTTTTGAGAGTTGCATTCAGATTTGTCTAGTGGCTCATGAAATATTTTGCTAATAAACACATGCTGCTAAGAAACAGCCAAGAAAAAAAACATTTCACTATTTTGTTCCTTTTCTACAGTCTTCCTGTTTCACTTTGGCTGAGKSAAGTTCAAAAGAAAATATGCCWGTTAAGGGACRAAATGAGTCAAATCGTGTRTATTGTTCCAACTTTCTTAAATATAARGATGTTTTCTTTGACTTTTTGTATTTGAATACTATGCATGTCACAGGCAMTTTAAGGGCCGTGCTCAAAGGCCCAAAGTGGGGCTGGTTGGTTTGGGGATTTGAACCAGCGACATTCTGATCACAGACTCATYTTCTCTAACCCACTCCCCTCATATGATGAGGAGAGTGGCTCAGACCAAACCCTAAACCTAACCTAAATACAATTCATACCTCAGCCCTAAACCCACAAATGAGGTTTTACYATTGTGTGGCAACTGTCCTCGTGATCATTGTGTAATGTCAAAAAATGTCCACACACCAAAACAAAAACATGCACATACACAGGCAATTACATTACTGCCCGCCAATTGAAACTTTGCTACCTTTTCTTGGCCAAGTACTGAGATGAATGGAAAGTGTTTTAGAAAAATCTCATCATCCTGGCTAAAAATCTTCATATGAATAACAGCATACAGTGTAAACATCAMACATGATGGCACGGTGTTGCATTTGTACACATAGTAAGCATCTAAGATCRCTACTATTGTTTTATTAAAGACAATGACAAACTTTCTGCACCTATTGGGACAGCAGTTCAAATGTTAATTGCTCATATCTTTCTAATTTACAATTCAATGACAATGAAATATTACTAAAAACATCCTTGAAAKTTTGGCACTACAGAAGAAGTGCCTTTTCAAACAGTAGACCTTTTTCTTGAGGGCAAGTGTGATGCATCAGAGAATAAATCTGAAAGCCCTTAACGTGAATAATTTGCAGGAGCTTGAAGCCCAAAATTTGAGGTCACTGTGACTGAAGAGAGGACCCGACACCACCTGAGACCACCTGACATCTGCAGGAGTGTAACCAAACACAATTCTTTCAGAATTCCCAGTCAGGCAGGTCGCTCTCAGTCACTTCAGTTGCCAGCTCCAAGCGACAGCCCAGACAACGGCCATGAATTAAAGATGGCATTACTGCGGCAACGGAGGACCCAGAAATAGGCCAGCTTGACCTTTTCACTGACCTGCTCTGAGTGGTGCAGACATTTGATTTCACTCCCTCATCTGAGGTGTGATTGAGTGTTGAAGTGCAGAAGTGGAGCACGTCAAACAGCTTAGCATCCGCTGTCGAATGTTTCGAGGGGCTCAAAGTGAATCAACATAAACTTGACCCGGAGGGAAAATATCAACTCCTCAGCATGTGGATAAAAGTTTAGCTCCTGTAATTGCCACTCGAACCTCAATTAAATGGCTAAGAACTGCWGGATTCCAAAACCTCTGTGCTCAAATGGGCTTCAAATGTAAATCCAAGGGACACGCAAATGCAGGGAAAATGAGATTCTACAAGCCTGTTTGGTTTCATAACTCCACGGGAAACTGCTTGTCTTTTAACCTGCAGGATGAAATACGTTTATTAGCATAAAACTCTCCATTTGGTTGTCTGGTCACAATAGKTTGATAGATTTAGTCAATGAGGATGTGCAGAAATAATTTAACACTTGAAATATTATTGTAATTTGAATTTTAAAAAACTGAAAACAATGTTTGTGTCAGTTAATAGGCCATTCTTGTAAGTAAAATAAAATGCATGTAAAAATCTTCATAACAATAGCTAAATTTTCTTTTACGAAAAAGGTTTGATRTAGTTATTTTTTGTAATAAAATGTGTATTATGTCATAGATAATTTTGTTGTTGTTTAAACCTCACTTAAAAATAGTACRAAAATAGATAAAACATGCTATTAAGCTAATGTATTATAGACTTTGAACCAGATATAAGCCATTTCTTTTGAGCACTAATAGGGTTTTTTATTGTTATTTAGTGCGCAGCTGTTGGTAAAGAGTGGGGTTTTTTCACAAATGAAGGAAGCTTGATTGTAGGGATGCACGATCTATCAAAGATTTATTGGCATTTTGCAAAAAAATGAAAACTGCAATAAATGSTTGGCTCAAATGTTCGTATTAATGCATTTTGTCAATCACACAGAGGATTGAAGTATTTGAGCAATCAAATGGAGAYGTTCACATATKTAGTCAATTGRATGGATCTCTTTWCATTAGATGTAGACATGGGTGGATCGCAAACGACTGAGAGTCACGATGGCTGAGAGAAAGATAAGTGAGGAAATTGTAYGCAACAAAGAACTCGTGATTAAAAAAACAAACAGCACATCCCTTATTTAAGATATTTTGGTTTCAAAAGAGACTATTCTTTGGTGTCTTCAGTAACTACTCAATAGTCCCTGAGTAGTTACTGACTAGTTCCTAAGTAGTTAAGCTTTTTTGTGTACCTTATTGTAAAGTGTTACCCCAAAGGTAAATGCAAACTTTATTAAGACAAGAGCACAACAGCACTGCAGATGTCTCTGTACCAGAGTTTTGTAAATGGGATTTCTTATAAGAAAACACTGAAGTGGTACAAAAACATAACAGAGGCACATTATTTGGTGAAGGACATGATGTCAATGAATACAGTGAGCCGAGAGGACTTCGTCGGTCTGATGAACAAAACGGACCTGAGATACCACATCAAATCGTAAGAATTGCACTCAGTCTTGTTTCACTGCTACTATAGCAACTGTGTCTAGTTTCACTTTTTAAAAAATAAAACTGTCATGTTGTAATGGAAATGATGTATTAGTTGTTGCATTTTGGCTCTGAACCCAGCACAGAAAGACAACACTGCATACTTTAAGTATTGCAAGTATTTTCGTCATCACAGTATTAAACACTTTTTGCACATCACAGGTTTTTCTAATATCATGCAGCCCTATTGTCCTTCTAAATAGTGCCTTCTTAAAAGTAGAGATAATGTCTTACTATATAACAGGGTAAATCTAATAAAATATTATGAACCCATGAGCAGTATAAAACAATGACACACTGACTAAAAACTTTTTTTTACTTAATACATCTTCATGTTTTGCTAAAGCCAGTGCTGATTAAATAAGAGTGAAAAAAAGATGTACCAAAGTTGAACAGTTGGTTTATTCAAAAAGAGTCAAAAATAAAAAGCTGCTTTGAAACTAGTATTAATAAATGTGGCSTTAGTGAGGTTGCAGTTAATGTTTCTCAACAGTTCATTACACTGCTGACACGTGGCGTATAAACAGGTTATTAACACAAGACAGGATTCACCACCGCTGTCAGCCATCGACATAGCAGTAAATTAGATCTGGCCATACAAACTAATTGCATATTAACGGCTCTGAGCCAACGGCTAACAGAAACATAGCTAATATACCACACAACACACACAGCAGTGAGATTAAATAGAAACAAAAGCATTTTTAAAAACTTCCGTTAAATTTGCTTTGGCCCTTTGACAGTGACTCCTGTGTTGAGCGTTAATCAGCATCTCCCGACGACAAAACAGGAAAGCTGTTGCTTTAATTACAGCTAAAATAGCGGTGATAATTTCTTGTGCTCAACATGCGCCCTTTCTGAATCCTCGTGACTGTCTTATTAATAATGAGTCTGGCTCTGCTAACACAGATGCCATCTTCAGACTAAGCAACCCATTAAACTTACAAACATTTAACCTGACAATTGCAACTGTGCTGGGAAAGAGGACAAAAAACACTTCTCCTTCCACATCCAATGTTAAAACATGATACTGAACTATTAGATTTAAATAGTCTGTAAAATGCTTAGTGAATTTCTGAGCCGCCTTTTTTCTGTRGTTCTGAGAACATATTGTCAAACTGCATCACGTCTTGTACAGAAACTGCATTGTGGCCAACAGGAAGACTCTGCAACCAGTGAGAGAATCATCAGGGGTTCTGCTCCCCTCCTCTGACACCATTTTCAAGATGAGAGAAAAGAAGAAGGACCTCCGTAATGTGAAAGACCCCCATCTCACCTCGTGTGTTGTTCAATCTCCTTCCATCAAGAACAAGATACAGGACATCAAAGTGGCATCCGCATGTGAGGACCCAGTGTTCCCAAAAGTGGGCCTTAACTAGACCAATTTTATCCTCTATATTTATCAGCAGATTTAATAACTAAAATAACGTCAAGACTCATCTTAAAACAAAATCAGTAAGGACTGCAACAGCACACACACACACACACACACACACACACACAC